GCGAGTCAACTTCGTTCCGCTTTACAGCTGAAATTCACTGCTTGCGTTCATAATAGCGCTCCTAAACTCCTATGATGCGCACAACACATACGACAATATTTGTCATAAAAAGAATCTTCCTATGATAAATAGTGTCATTAAGAGAGCGTATATGAGTATGTCGTATTTGTCATAGATGCTAGCAGAACAAGCTGTATGTCCGTGACTGATGTCTCACAGCTTCAATCGTGGCTGTGATCTTGCACTGTAACAGTAACTAAAACAGTAGGGCCTACTTGCACTGCTTTCTCCACTGACAGGCTAGCACATTGGTCATCGAATTTCAGTATTGCACCGTCATCAGTGCATGTAAATGTCATTTTGTCACGTACAGCCTACTCGCAAATAAGGTGCTTTTCGGGAGAGAATTTGCATTCGTGAGCTCTCTCTCTCTCTCTCGCAGTGCTTATCCACGCACCTGGCTCTCTTTCGAGTTGCAGCCAGCATATCTCCCTTAGCGTTAACTGTGGATCTCGTTTAGTAAAATACTCAATCGTTATATTTGACAAACACATCGTTATAGCTATGCCGAGATTCGCCTGGCAAAAACATGAAGTTTGTGTTTAGTATATGTCAATGCCTTGACCTCACAAGCTTTGATTTTGACCCGGTGGCCTGTAGGTATATATTAAACTACCTCTTCCACTTGTCCCAGGAATGAGCTGGATTTCCGTCGTAAATTGCAAGTTGCTCGGGTGGTTTTACAAAAACTTTTGCCATTATTAATTTCTGTCTCACACTGCTGGCTGCCATGCAAACTGCTTTGCAACTATCTTTTTTGCTTCGTGATTGGCTTGAAAATTTGTTAATTTATGCTTTTTCTCTCATAGTTTTAGAAAATTCTACGGAGGTTTGTGAAGAATAATGTCTACAAAATGTTAAATTTGAATACTATATCGTTCACTGTAGAGTTTTTGAAACTTCGACAAGTGCAAATTGAGAGAAATACGTGATACTACGGTCCGGGTATAAAAAAATAACACCTCGTGAATACATTAGTAACATTAAGTCAAACAGCAGTCAGTTTCACAATGCTGATATCGTTACCTACATTTCGTACACTAAACAGCTCAATAATGCAGAAATAACCTTACTAACGAACCATGCACGGACACCACTAGGCGTAATTAGCTGTAATTGCGTGGTATACCAAACTAGCCCTGATAGCATCACACGTACGTCGCATTTCATGCAACTAACCAACTAACCGTTACAGCAGACTGAACAACGCAGTTTCCCCGCCTCTCCCGATAGCAAGTAGAATTCGAGAATTTAGTATAGTATTCGCGAAGCAGCCTGACAAACACATCGCTTATCCAGGGTTCGGCCAATTATGTCAGCTGTCTTTAATTACCATTTAGATCTTGTTAGGTGCGCTTGCCTACTTACGGATACCGCGAGTTTTCGGTCAAGATTTAGCGTAAAAATCCAAAATAAAATGAATATCACCGAAGACAAGAGTATGACATGAACATAACTGTTCACTTACGCGCACCTTACTCATTCTACAGAACGAACCCGAAGGCACTCTGAGCCTTAATTAATGCATACTCGATATTTCCCAGCCTACCTAGCACTTCCCTATATCTTCCCTATATCCTCACTTCCCTATACCTTCCCTATATCCCAGCCTACCTAGCACTGATCGTTAGCTCGCCGTAAAAGATACTGAGTACGTGGCTAGGAGTGGTGGATTCCCAGATCATGTCATAGTAAGAGCATTAAACTCGTTTCAGTAATCATGCGTAACGTTTAAAAACACGCATGCAATTTTCATGTGCATTATATTCTCGCCTGGCTAAATGGTTCTCCGTGGCGACTAAGTGGCGTAAAGTGCGCTACAGCCTAATATTATCATCTCCCAGGTGAGTTAAACAGCGAGGAACAGAAAATATATCTTCAGATGCCGTAAAAACGAAGCGACAAACACCGCTCGAGTACGCATACACACGAACGAAAACCGCTTTCTACAAACAAGTTCACACGAGCACGTATTCGGCTGCATCCACGTTTACTGACTATAGATAGTTCGCACATACGTCATCAGCTGTTTCATCTATGCTTCTATGTTTCCATGCTCACGGCTGCAACTATTCCATGAACTTATAACGTAGCTACTCCAGCTCACTTGCAATTGTAACCATGACAGCAAGCTGTAACGATAACTACTTCAACTAGTCGTATCTTACATACTACAGCGATTGCCTGTTACTGCAACACCAGCAAGCTATAACTGCTAACTGTAACGGTTAGCTAACTGCTACCTGCAACAGTTAGCTAACTGCTAACTGTAACGGTTAGCTGAGTCCATAACTAAACCAGCTAGCTAAATCTGTAATCGTGCCAGCGTGCTGTAACTGTACCAACGCCAGATAGCAGTGTCTGTAACCCGCAAGCTAGTTGCAACTGCAACTATGCCACCCGACTGTAACCATGCCAAGTGTTTTATCTCGGCTCTTCTAAGTCAGCTGTAAACATACCAAACAATGTGTGAGAATTACATTGACAGATCAACAACAAACAGGATCCTAGTAAAAGTTTGAAATTTTATTTTTATGAAATATGCATACGAGCTCATTACAAAATATGATAACAACGCAATATGCTTACTACTACCATTACCGAACTTTCTTCTTATTTATTGTGAAAGAAATTAGAAACACCTTTATAAGATAATATAATATTAGTTACCGTTGTGAGTTTAGCAGACTCTTCTGCTATGTACATGAACTACGTTGGTAATAAAAGCAGGGCTCCTTTACATAACCACAAATTTATCATAATCGACAACTTTTTAACGCCTATAAAATTAATTAGATTGAGTTTCCAACAACTCAACGATTACTCTAAATATTTCATTTGAATATATGTTGTACAAAAATAATCGTCACACCTCTTTATATCACAATAGCATGACGATATTTGGCTTCATATATATAATATATGTATGCTTATTCTCTTGAATAATTGAAGATAAGTACCAGGTACTTGTCAACAACCACAAACACTCTCACTAAAAACCATAACAAAGCCTTCAACTGAACACACGCTAAATATATACGCTAATATTACGTGCTGATAATTCAACCATTCCTTCAAATAATGCTAACCCTAGAACATAACAGCTTTGCCCCGGATAGCACAACCTGGCACTCCGCACCAGCTACGCTTTTATCAGGCATGAGAACAGGTTAAGATGTTTTTGGAGGAAATATTTCAATTCGTGCCCTAGGAACGATAAAAGTGTGCGTAGCAGCGAAATTTTTGAAATTTGGAAGGGCAGATAGGCCATTTCCATGCATTCTGGGGAAAATTGTAAGTCCATTCCGTTCTTAGTAAAAACCAATTTCGTGACTAACAATTGAAACTCTTCTCCTTTTCTATGAACATTTCAATGTTTTATGTGGCGGTTAACTTAAAGCATGCCTTAAAGTGATTACGTCACCGTACATAGTGAAAAAAAAAAAAAACTTTTCCACAAAATATAAGTAATTCTGTTCACTTTTTATGGTTAAATTGCTGCATTATACTTCTTATTTTACTATATTGTTCGATGTGAACATACACTCGTGACTCATACATAGCCCATAGCAAGCAATTAATGTTAGGAACACTAATATCAAATCGTCCAGGTTTTTTGGATTTTTAACTAGTTGAGAAACAATCTTATCAGGTAAGAATTTGACGATACGTTTAATTAGTTTAAAGTAACATTTAAAAGTAATTAAAAAAAGTATTAAAGTAAATTTAAAAAAAGCATTAAAGTAAATTAACATTTAAAAGTAAGTTAGTTCTTTTTTTTAATGTAAAAAAATGGCAACAAAAACTTTACAAATTTTACCATAGAAAATTCGTGACGTAGTCAATTTAATTTACATTACATAGATACACCGCGATATTTATCTGGAGTTCTGTTACTTCTGTGTGAAATTTGACATACTTTTCCTGACTTTTTATGAAGTTTAAATTAAAAATGGCATCCATTTTGACAAAAAAGTATGCATTACCCCCTAAGCTTTTTATTCGTGTTTTGCATCAATCTCAAGAATGACTAAAATGAAAACCAAAACCCTGAAATCCGCGAATCTGCGGAAAATTCTCATGCCTATTTTATACGGGATCTTAGACCGTTATTAGGCAGGTATAAGTTTAATAGCCCAACCTGCTGTCACATAGCATCCTTTGATTAGCGGAAATTTGATCGAATCGGGTCAAAGATAAATGCTCCCAGCAGATTCAGTGGCGCACCTAAGGCCACGTCACATTTAAATAAACATAGAACCCAACATGGGATTCTTGCATGCGAGTAGTAACCATCGCTGCAGGAGATATAACAGTTATTGACTTATCGATGCAACACATAGCGAAAGACACATTAATGTCATTGACCAACGTCACATTGATCACAACAATACACCACACCAGGACATTATACCTGTCTTACATAAACGAACTTTCATAAAAGAGGCATCGATTGAATAAGAAAGCATAACTGCCTCGCAAGGGCGGCAGAACCGAGAGGGGGGGCAGGGGGCCACCGGATTCCCCATCGAATACTACCTGTGGAACACTGTCGTCGCACCGATTAGTTCGCATACTACCGGTCGGTCCCCATCTCCGAGGCCACGCCCCATCCATGGCGGGGTGCCGGGACAGTTGCCCGACAGCCAACGGAAAACCCATTTCACGATGAAGCTGCTCCGCCTTTCCGGCGCGATTACCCGGGATTTCACAAATGTGTGCGTGCCTCTCGTGAAGCACAGTCCTCACCCTCCAAAACTACCAATAGCTCGGGTTGCCCGAGGCGTGAGTGGAGCACGCGCCCCAGGGCGATGCACGACGTGAGGCACGCGCGAGGAAGAAGAGGAGACTCTTCTACACCGGCCACCTCCAGGCGCAGGGGCAGGGGCCCCCCAAAATTAATTATTATCTTATTATTAGAATTATTAATTTAATTTCTTTTTAATGAATTTTATAGTTACTCTTATGTTAATCATGTTAATTATGTTCATTATGTTATTTTCAATAAATACATAATGCGTATACGTGCCCTTTTTTGGCTTTGCCCCCCCCCCCCAAATTAAATACGTTCCGCCGCCCTTGCTGCCTTGCGCGGATAGGTAAAATAAATCTAGTGATGCCTTAACTATTGCCGTTTCGATTCACTTTTGGACGGACAATGCTTTCCATCCATATCTGCACTCGTTGAGCTGAGAAGATGTCGCTTGTCACTGTCCCACCAGCACACAGCGTCCTCCCACCGCTCCGATTCCATCGAGCTCTGACCGAGGCAGTACATAGAATAGAGAACGACGGCGTACGACGGCAGTGTTCCTGAAAAATAATTGTATACGTTATAGGAATGTTGCGACCGCACATGAACAACAGTGTTACTGCATTCAGTGATGACGTCAAGAGCGTATTAAGAACAACAGCATTCTTAATACTATATTCTATATACTACTATATACTACTCTACTATATGCTATATTCTTATACGCTCTTGATCACATCTATCTATTTAAATGGGGTCACAGAGGTCACCGTAAGGCGTGTTATTCTGCTACTTTACCAATGCTTTATAACACGGAAGGCTAATGCCACGGTTTGATCGGCACTAACATCCTTGAGTAAGTCGACAAGGGACACAGCGAGCCGACGTTAGCGGATCCTAGGGTCGATATGCGTATAAGACCATACTGCAGATGATGAGAGATAATAGGGTGGATTGAGTACATAAGACGGAGAAAGCCGCGATGTCAGGAGATCTTAGGTTGAATAACAAGTGGGACGACGATCTTAGGAGATATCAGAGTGGAGATAAGACCAACGTGAGATGAGACAGAGTCTCATGGAGCAACGAGCCTGGTCTGGTTTAGGCTCGTTATGTATATGTCGCTGGAATACGAACGAGCTCTGCCACGTACCCATGTGAGTCCCGGAACCACAACGCAATAGTTATACATACGAACAGTGCACATGTATTCAAAAATATTTCATCCTTTTGACCTGTCCCACAGATATGACCAAGTATCTAACTACCGCACAGGCGATATGCGCCTATCATTGCGGCATCTTCGTGTTACATAACAGCAGATACGCCTATTGGAATGCTAAACCATCATTCCAAACGATGTGAATGTGGTTACACGTTTCCAGTGCTGGCTACACATTCTGAAACGAATGCCTTGTATTCAACAAATGCGTAGACGAATTATATCAACGCCATGTCGGTACAGCGTTCTGTCTGCAATTTTTCTGCGGTTAATTTTTAAATGCTGCCGCAATATATAATAATATATTCTATTGCGCGAAAACGCAAACGCAAAACGCAAACGCAATCCCCGCGAAAAACCCCATGGCTAGGCATAATTCTATAACTGTCACGCATCTAAAATCTCCTAATCGTCCCAGCGCTGAAAATTATACACGGATTACACATACAATATTTAAAATATTACACGGTTAAGATTCCTTGCAAAACATCAGGGTTTCCTTTGCCAGTGCAGCAGAAACTAGGGACAGAATGCTTATATATATAAGGTAAAGGTTAGGAGAGAGAGAGAGAGGGATCAAGCAAAAGAGAAAGAGCAGAGAGGGGAGAGAGAGATAGAGAAGAGAGAGAGAGAGGGAGGAGAGAGGGGGAGACGGGGCGGAGAGAGAGCGGAGCGAGAGAGAGAGCAAAGGATAGAGGAGGAGGGGAGGAGAGAGCGCAGAGAAGGGAGAGGGAGAGAGAGAGGGAAGGAGAGAGGGGGCGAGAGAGCACGAGAGATTGGGAGAGAGAGCAAGAGAGGACGAGAGAGCGACGGGAGAGAGAGCCGCGCGGGCGAGAGAAGGAGGGAGGGGAGACGAGAGTGCATAGAAGCAGGGGAGAGAGAGAGGGGAGAAGAGAGAGGGGAGAGAGAGGGAGAGAGAGAGGGGAGAGAGAAGAGGGGAAGAGAGAGAGATCCAGAGGAGCAGAGAGAGCGGCAGGGAGAGGAAGGGCTGAACGAGGAGCCGGGAGAGCATGGGAGAGACCAGGGGAGAGAGAGGCGGAGAGATGGGAGAAAGCGGAGGGAGAGAGTGAGGGAGAGAGAGGGGAGAGATGGGAAGAGGAGAAGAGCGGGGAGAGATGGGAGAGAGAGGAAGAGGAGAAGGAGAGATGCGGATAGGCCCCCCGAGGGCGGATAGAGTTGAAGAGTGAGCGAAAAGGGAAGAAGCGAGAAGAGCCAGGCGGGAGAGAGAGGGCAAGAGAAAGAGGGAGTAAGGGAGAGGGGGAGAGAGATGGGGGAGAGAGGCGGAGAGCCGAGAGGGGAGAGAAGAAGGGAACGAGAGGGAGAAAGAGAAGGGAGAGAGGAGGAGAGAGAGGGGGAGAAAGGGGAGAGAGAAAGGGGAGAGAGACAGGGGCAGAGAGAGGGGGAGAGAGCGGAGAGAGAGAGAGGGGGAGACGAGAGGCAGGGAAAGAGATGAGGAGAGCAGACGGGGACGAGAGAGAGGGAAAGAGAGAGAGCAGAGGAGAAGAGAGGAGAGACGCCGGAGAGAGAGAGCGAGAGAGAGCCAGAGAGAGAACGAGAGAGAGAGAGTAGGAGAAGAAGAGAGAGAGAGAGAGAGAGGCAGAGTCGAGAGGAGGAGAGAGAGCAGGGAGAGAGAGAGACGAGAGCAGGACGAGTGGAGAGAGAGAGAGAGAGAGAGAGAGAGGGAGAGAGACGAGAGACGGAGAGATGCAGAGAGAGAGATAGATAGAGAGAGAGAGAGAGAGAGAGGAGAGAGAGAGAGAGATAGAGGCGAGAGAGAGGGGGAGAAAGGGAAACAGAGAGGGGAGCCGCCCGGCCGGAGCACGGAGGCGGAGACGCGACGAGGGAGAGATGGGAGACCGCAGAGGGCGGCCCGACGAGCCGTCGAGAGAGGGGAGAGAGGTGGAGGCGGCGTCCGAGCCCGAAGAGAGGGGGAGGATGGGAGAGAGAGGAGGGGGAGAAGATAGGCAACGCCACGAGGGAAGGAGAGAAGGAGAAGACTGGGATATCGAGCGCCGCCGCGGATAAGTTGAGAGGAGAACGGAAGCGAGAAGAGAAAGAGGGGGGGACCGGAGAGGAGGGGAGAGACCACCAAAGAGGGCGAGAGGGAGAGGGAGAGAGTAGACGGGGAAACGCGAGATCATGGAGGCAGACCGGCGTCAAAACCGTCCGAAAAAAAGAGGGGGGAGAAGAAGGAACACACAAGCACCAAGGGGTACGAGCACTAGGCCGGGAGAGAGAGTAAGGCGGAGGCGGGAGCAGAGAGGGCGGAGAGAGACGGGGTCGGACGAACACAGCAGAAGAAGAGG